TTTAAGTAACACAAACCGAGGCTGAGTAAGGGTGGTCTCTGAATGTTGTAATATATACTTTGTTTTGAAGTATGTATTACATTTCATTGTGCACTCACCAGTGCTCAAAACCTTAACAACTTGAAAGTCTTTATCTTTTCTGACTCACATTAATGATGAAGCTAAGTGGCATAGTAGATGTTAAATAAACTTTATCTGAAGATCTGAATTCAAACATGTAAAATCAAAGGAAAGAGTTTTGCTGACAGGGAATGTGTATTGCAGTGAAAGAAGGTTAAACTTTTTTTGTACTTTTTGCTTGAAACCACAAAGGATGAACAAAAGGTTGAATTAAAAGCAAAAGGTTGAATTAAAAATTGTCTTTGTACTGTTTCAGACTGTAGAAGGCTTTTTGCAATACCTTGTGTTTAAGCTCCCTGTTTCTAATTGCTGGAGAAACAAGGCTCCTCTTTGTTGCTTAAATATAATTTTTACAGCTGTTTAATTTTCAGTCTAAGTGTTGGAGTGAAATGAAGTCTTCTGTGGCATAGATACTAACAAAATGAACAGAAAATCATCAAAGATATGGACCCTTAATATCACTGATCTTTCTTGATGAGATCAGAATCTTATCTGATGGGCATTCAGAAAACAAACTGCATTAGATAAATACCTTTCAAATGACCCTTCCAGCAGCCTGGATTTTCCAGAAAATACATGCAGCCACTTCAGCCCAGAGAAATTAGGTGTTGCCATTATTTTTAAAAGAGGTGATCTAAATGATGGTAACCGCTGAGGAGTCTTAAGGTAGTGACAGAAACAGAGGTTAAGCTTGCGAGTATCATTAAATATGAGACGATCTCTCACATCCAATAACTGTTTTTTGAGGCAAAGTTCTGTTCATTCTTCTCTGCTTGTTCTCCTTTTATGTTTTACATTTGTACCTTACTGGAAAGTTTAGTCCTCACAGTCTATCTCCTGATTTTCCTTGATGCTTTAAACGTCTTATCTGCCCTGTGCCATTGTTGTGTCCTAGAAAATAATGTTTTGCTCATTCAGAAGAATGTATTTTAACTTGTTCTGCATCACCAAGCAATTAATTTTTTTTAATCTAATCAGATACAAATGTTTTGCCTATTTAGAAATTTATGTTTATTTTCCTTTTGAGTTCCTAACTAAACAGTACAGTTCGAAGGTGTAATATATCCCAATAGATAAGTATGTAATTGTTTTGGCAACTCCCCTTTGGCTCAAAGGTACACGATAATATGAAAAATGGTAGCACAGTGGTCATTTATTATCTGAAAATCTGTAATTATTGTACCACACAGAGTATCTTTTATTTCAGTGCAGTACTGAGAAATAGATGTATTTATTCCAGGCTATACAGAGTTTGAAATTTGACTTGCAACTTAAAGAACTTTCCTTACCCTGAAAAAAAAGAAAAAAAATCCCACTGAAATACTTGGTCTCTGGTAAACAGCATTCAATTTTTAACTGTTCGAACCATTGACAAGAAAATTGACTAACATGAGTGATGTTTTAAATTGCCTTCAAGATTTATGTGTGCTACTTCCAAATTTTAGTTGAAATGTCTTGCCCAAATGAAACACCAGCTAATTGACAATTCTAGTCCTCCATATTGCTGTTGACAGCATAAATTTTTAACAAAATTTCTGTTAAACTGGCAGAAAAAAACCAAGAAAAATTATGGTGAAATGCCTGCATAAGTGATCAGAAATGCTTTCCTTTCTTATATACTTAAAGATGTAATATATATTGAAGCTTTTTGTGAATGACTTTTATGTCTGGCCAGAGTACTATTTTAGTACTTATACTGTGTCAGCACTTCAGATTAAGCACTGTAAAGGCTTGTAAAGCTCCCAAAATACTGACTAAAACTGTAGCATGAAAGATTTGCTTAGAAACAAATCCTCATTCTGTTTATGGTATTAAAAAAATGATTCTCTATATTTGCATTATGAGAAACAATCACTTTTTTGTGCCTCTTTAGTAATAGGTTTAGATCCTTTGACTTGGAGTGCGGGGGGTTGGTTCTTATTGGAAGTTTTGGTAAGAGAAACAGTTGAAATTATCAGCTGAGTGCATCTTCACCAGGCTGGTTAATATTTACTGAGAATCTCTTTTACATGTGACATCATTTTTACTGAATTAATTGAAGAAATATACATTCTTGATTTTTAACCTTGTTCACTAAGTGGGCATTCTAGAAAAATGTTACACAATGCCACACTTGTATTGCAGTTTTCACAATTTTATTCTCGTTTCTAAGACTCTTACTGCAGTGTGTATTAACATTTTAAATTTGCAGGGGACAAAAACAATCAACTAAAAAACTCTGAGTGATGAAGACATCATTTTTGAAGTCTCTTGTCTCAGTAGTTTTCTTCATAGCACTTTAAACTGAGACTACAACACTTGTGATATTTCCACTATTCAGAGTTCATGGGTGCTTGTGCACCTAGGGTACTTTTTCAGATGAAAATGTAATTCCAGATTTACTTTTTCTCTTGCAATAAATCTTCTTGGAAAGGTATTTAAGTTTCACTCAATACAGTCAGTTTGCAAATATCTGGTTCCTGCTCAGTTTCCTGTTTGTGATGTATGTCTGGACCTGTGTACAGTAGGATGACTTTTTATTTTGAGGCATGGCCACCAACATTGCAGCAATGGATACTGGCTTCTTGTCGCAGGGCTGAGAAATGGATTTTGAAATCTCCCCCTACTGTCAAACCTCCTCCTGCCTCCCTGCCCCTCAGAAGTCAGATTTTATTTTAAAATCCATTTTGACACATCATTCTTCTGGGAAGGATTCCAAGAAGGAAATACTTCACAGTTTCTTTGGCCTCCTTTAAAATCTTCTTGCTCTGTATTGCTCATAAGAGATAGGGAAATCTTAATCTGTTCATCCATGTGCATCTCCAAAATCCTGTAAGTTAATGTGTTCAGAGAAGGATTTTCCTGAAGAGATGAATGTAATAAAGGTAATTAGTTCTTCTTGTCTCTGCTATAATGTAAAGGTGTTTAAAAGCCTCACAGTGATCTTTTGTTTGAACTTCAAACATGAGTTTGGTCCAGGGAGTGACCAGGGCTGATACCCATATTCCCTTACTCTTGAGAAACCTTATCCCTGTGAGAGAAGCTTTTGCTTTAAAATTCTTTTGGAGTTTAGGAAAAAAGTGTCTTGGATAGCCATTATGCAGATAATCGAGGGATATATGAAACAAGATGATGTCATTATTTTAAAACTATGTAAATTTCCACATTTAAATTCCAGTATTTTTCAAACATACAAGGAATACTTTACCCACTTGTACTGCTGCTGTTTTAGCAATACAGACTACAGTAGTCCTCCCCCCCACGTCTAGAAATTGGATGAGGTTCTTTTACTTCTGTGTTGTATTGTGTCTAGGTTTTAATGTCAGTCATATGAACCTTTTAAAAAGCAGTGTTAATCACTGTTTCTGACTAAACATTTGGACTGAGAGATTTAAAAGACAAGAGATTCCATTTACCAGGTGCAGGATGCAGCATTTGTTAAAGTATTTTTAAATTCAGATAGACAGACCCAAGCACACAGGGTTGTAGGGGAAAAAATAATCTTGTGTCTTAATTAAATGTTATTAAATATTATGGTTTGACTGCAGCGACCTTGTTGACTAGTGGGCAGAATACTTTGAAACACAAAAACAAAAAAACCATCACTACTCCTCCAAGAAAACCCAAAACAAAAAACCCCCACCAAAATCAAAACCAAACAAATGGGGGGAAAAAAAAAAGAAAACAACCCTCCTGTGATTGCCAGGTTTCTTTGGATTCTGCACAGCGTAGCTAAAAATATACCAAAGAGCCCTTTCTGGCAAGGGATTTAAAAAAAATAAATCCATATGATGAAAGTGCTTTACTATAATGTTTCTTTGAACTTACTCCCAGAGAAATGCAAGTTTTATTTACACATGATTTCTACAGCAATTGTAAGAAAAACATGATGACCAAAAGTAAACAAAAAATATTTCAAATTATGTTTCTTATATAGTTGAAATAACATAAGGATACTATGTATTGTTTCTATCAGTAAAGTACTAAATAATTATAAATATACAATATATAAAAATACAGATGTACCTAGAAGTATACATATTTACAAAAGTACAATAAAAATTAAATACATAAAAATTGCAGGTTATAACATTTGAAATATTCCTTAAACAGTCTGTGAAGCTAGAGGAAGGCCTGCTGAATTGGAGGAATATTAAAATACAAAATTTATAAATAACAACTGCACAAGCCAAGTATTTACAGGCACTGGGATGATGTCTTCTGTCTGTGTTCAACTTTTGATCCTGTCTAATCTTGCAACACCAATTAGGTAAAAATTAGCACCTTGTGGATAGAGATTCTTTTGAGGAACAGTTTGTTTTGCAGGAAGAGAAAATGGATTAATTGGTGGTGCTTTTCCTTCTAAGTTACAATTAAAACATTTCCCAAATGGTGAAGGATTGCTGTCTCTCAAAGGTTACTTGGTATGAGCTGTCTCACTTCGCATCTTATAGCCAATGTAAACATACCAAAATCATACACTAGGGACATAATAGCTAGGTGGCTACTTCCAAAGCTGGGGCATTTAGGGTTATTTAAAATTATTACTTTTACAAGGGTTTTTGTTATTCATTATGTATAGTCCATAAGCATTTCTTCCTGTTCTGACTCATCTAGTTATATCTGCCAGATATATATATATATGCGCGCCAGATACATAAAGAACTTGATAAGAGTGAGGAAGGAAATTCATTCTGCACAGAAAATGTACGGCATACAGGCACCTTTTGAACTGTCTTTGAGGCCTGATTTACAATCCTTGTACTTTCAAAGAGGAGAAATATCTTCCACGACGAAAGTAATTTTTAAAGTGACTTGGTATGAGAGAGAAGTTTCTTCTAAATGTTGTAACTCTGTTTCAGTCTTGAGTATGTTTTATGACTATGTATATTTCCTTTCAGAAAACTGACATGTGGGAGAGTGAGAAGACTGAGGAAGACATGGAAGAGTATATCTGGGAAAATAGTTGCTCTCAGAAAAATGCCTTGGATACACTGATTCGAATAAAAGCCTCTGAGAATGTCAGTAATGTAACTAAGGATGAGCTTCTTGCATCTGAAGTGGTTAAGAATTACAGAAACTCTGTAATTGCACTTAAAAATGAAGGTGAAACAGAAGATAACATGTCTCGGTATAAGGAATCCGTGAAGAAGCTATTGAATATACAAGCATTACCATGAGACCAGACTTTGCAGGTATATGTGGTTATTGCGGAAGTAGTAAACTACTATGTTAATATTTCTATATGATATGGATGTATAATTGTTCAGAACCTTAACCAGAAATATGAAACCTGATGGTGAGTTAATTTCAGTAGTAATAAGATTTTTCTTTACTGTTGGATTTTCTTGTAAGCATAATTTTCCTGTCCATGAATCTTGTTCTTTGAATAAACTATGTTTTGAGTCATATTTGTGACTTGAACATTCTATTCTGTGCTTTCTTAGCTTGGTTCAGTCCTCTGCTTAATCACATTCTGACTTCTCACACAACTTTGCCATATAACTTATAGCAACAATGTCAAAACCAATGAAATTACTTAGGCTCCACGTTCCATTAATTAAGAATCTCAAAGTTAAGACCTCTAAACTTTCTAAATGCTTTTCAAATGTCACTCAGATTTTTCTCTGGATGTACACCCTATCTGTAAAAGAAAGATGATGTTGCCTAAGTAGTTTTAATTTTTGGAGAGGTGTTGAAGCACACTGAGCAATGTGAGGTTCTATCAGTGGTCATCATGAGGGCTAACAAATACACTAAGTAAAAATACCTATCTTTAAAATGATGGAATAAAATAAGGTAGAAAATGGGATGGTAGTGGGAAGGTGAACTAGCAGTTATTGACAGGATACCAAAGTTCATGGGAAAGGTAGAACGATGAGAGTTGCTGAAAGAGAGCTGGTGAGTAGTCAGGCGAGTATATAGCTTGAGTAGGAATGGACTGAGTCTTGCTACCCTGAGGCCTGCTGAGTTGTCCCTTGAATGTACTTGGGCTCTTCGAGGAAAAAAGCATTTGTAGCATCCAGCTCACTGCTGTGAAGCACAGAGAAAGAAGTTATATGGATGTTTATCCTATTTGGTAGTTTGTATTTGAAAGGAATTTATTTGAAACACTGGAATGACAGGCAACTTTTATTGCCTTCTCATGGTTGAGAAAAAAAAAAACAACTTAAAAATATCAGCTTGAAAGGATACAACTAATTCTGTTGTTGCTTTTATTGTACCTTCCTGGCTCACTAAGATTTCAGCTTAGAGAGAAAGTTTTCATTTTCTGGAAGGGGCAGAGGGAATTTTTATTCATCAGACTTAAGGATTCTGCATACCTATAAAAGAACCTACCATGTGGCCCTGCCAGCAACTCATTGAGAGGAAACAGCATCAGAATAAGGACATTGAAAACTGAAGAGGAATTGAGTTCTGCAGTGTTCTATGTGGCTCGACTCACTCACTGCTAGGCTTTCTCATTGTTTGTTTCATGTTTACATAGAGCCAAAGAGTGTATGTATTCCCATTTCTAAAACATTGTCCATTTTGGAAGGATTCTTCTTGGGTAGAGGTTGTTTTAATATGGCAGGAGACTGAGTTTAATGCAGATTTTTAGTACCTATGAGAATTGCCAGAGCTGTAGCTAGGATTGAAAATGGTTGTCCTGTAATCTGAATTTTGCACTTACCAACTCAGTTATTTAGTGGTCCTTCTTTTTAGATTTGTATTAATGTGACATTTTAGCAGAAGCTTAATATGGGGAAAGTTTTGGCTGTTATCAGGTTGTTCCTTTATTCAGGGATAATGGGGATAATGTTTAAAATTCTCATTTGAAATAGTATATCTGTGTAATTCCTAATCTTTTTTGAACAGCCATGAAACCAAAATTACTGAGGAAGTAACTGCAGTTTGACTCAGAGAATGGTATGGATGGTGGAGTTTTGCCTGGCTTTATTCCAAAGGCGGTTTGATTCTAGTATGTACACAAGAGAAGTTTGTTTCCTTAATTAGCTTTGTCAGTGCTTGCATAAGGGCTGGCATAGTAGCAAGCAACTAAATTCTGTTTTGCAGTGGCATGAAGTTGTCCATAGGTGCTTGGGACATGAGTACCTGATAAAATCCTCTTTGCAACAGAGGACAATTTGGTTTTCCAATTCAGTTTTCCTTTGCTTTTCGTAGACTTCAAATGGACCTAAGCAGAACTCTGTGTAAACCTTTTAGTTAAAATAACAATTTGACTTTACTCATAATAATAATAGCTGGTAGAAATAACAGCCCGGCAAAGGAAATTGATTTTTCATTTGATTACATTAGCATTTCAATAGCTTCAGAGTTAATTCATGGAAAACCTAAAATGCACGGGCTTCTAGAGTTCCCTCTGAAGTGTTCAAGCCTAGCTTATATAGGTTCTATAAATGTTTCAAGAAATACAGGTGGGATAAACGGTGGCTGTCTCCTGAGTGCCAGGACACTCAAATGTCTCTACCAGCAATAGACCATACCGGCTGGCCAAGAACAACGCTGGGACTAATTCACTGTGTTCCCTAACCACATCCAACACCTACCACCAGAAATTAATTGTCAAAGGTACCAATTTTCCAGTAGCATCAGTGGCCCTATAGCTATAGAACACTTGGCCAGCTGGCCTTAGAAATCTGCAAGATTGACCTCTAACCTTCGTTTTCAATGTCGTTTTCATTTCTTCTTGCTAAGAAACACATGAGCAAAATTAAAAACCTTTATAATCCTCTAAGTGCCCAATCAAACTGCTAGAATCAAAGGCAATGTAAAATTCAGAGTTAGACTTGTGATTTTTACTAATGGTTTGTATGTTACGGTACAGAACTTGTGTATTGCAGTGGGCTGGATCAGTGGTAGCCTGGGTTGTATTTTGAGCTCTTTGTCATATTGGATGTTTGTGTTTCTGTTTTTCTGCTTGTCCCTCCAAACTATTGGTGTTTGAGGGTGGCAGTATTTCGCTTTGACTATGTAGAATACCTAAAGCACTGGTATCATAACTTCAGTGGGAGTCTTCCCAACCTTGATAATATAGCATATATTCTTATGAACTAAACTACACACTTCTGTTTTCCTATATGATACTCTTGCAGACCATCTCATTGGAAACGTGCACTGAAATTTAAAAACTGTGAAGAGTTAAGAGAGTCATAGATTTAAAGGTAAAGCAACTCTACAGCACAGTAATAGGTACATCCTTAGCAATGGTCACTTATTAATGTATCATGTACATTATAATGTAAATGGATGACTGCAAGGTGTGTATCCCTTTATACATTCCTGTGTGTATGTACATTCTGTTACATGGAAGTGCCTATGTTACTTTTAAATAGAAACGTAAATAGATAAAACTTAAATCAAGAAGCAGGCTAGGGCCCCCCCAGTGCATAAATTTGGAAGGAGGAACAAAAAACCACATAATATCTAGAGGCATTGGCTGTCTTCAATAGGTAATTCTTTTACTGGTATTTACTGGCCAAGAGGAACATGGAGCTAGTTCCTGACAGCCCTGACCTCAGGCAACCTTGTCCATCATAGATTGAAACTTGAGCAGGAAGGCTACTATATGTGCTTCTTTGTGGTCGCTGTTGTAACCTCCAAGTAGCAGATGTCTCATTTCAAATCCAAACACTTGCCCCCGCAAACTGGAAAAGTTAGTTCCTTACAGCAGGGAAAAATAAGCTGTCTCCGATGGAAAAAAACTCACATGAGTTTTAAGTTCTTGGCCATCTGGAATAGTTGTGATGCATAGTTTCGCTGGTGCTTTTGAGGAGACTAACCTTTCTTTTATCTCCCGTATAAACATTCCAAAGAAAGGTTGAGATTGAGCTCTTGGTCAAACTGGAAAAGAACTTGCTTTGTCAGTATTCTGGCTAATTTTTTTGCATCTAGAAACTACTGTAATCACTGGCATAAGATGTCTTCAGTAAACAGAGTGCTAAGAGTTGTGAAGTGAAGCATTCAAAGTGTTGCTGAATAGTTTCTTGAGGTTGGTTGTCAATGTTCTATTGCACTTTTGCCCATTAAAGAAGTGCTGTCAGACAGTAAAGCATGATCTCTTGCTCAGACAGGACAAGAAGACCTGTACAGAGACATAATTGAGCCTTTGGCAAGGAGAGTAGATGTTACAACTTCTTCTAATTTCTAAGACCTGAATGTGACTGGCTGTGTGTGAAAAGTTGGTAAACCCTTGCAGATAATCTTACGTCTTCAGGGGGTTTATTTTCCTGACTGGAGTTGACACTTTTTGCCCTGTTTTCACACATAGTGTTGCTACAAACACTAGTAAGGGATAAAGGGACAGTTGCCTGAAAAGGGATGTGCTGTCTGGATGAACCATGTTTCTACTCATTTCTCGTTTTCCCTCATATTTAAAATGTGTGTATTTATTTCCTTGTGAATATCCTAGTCGGTAATAAAATAGTCCTACTACTGTGCTTTATATAACACTTTTCCTGCCTATTTTTTTCTCTATAAGGCAAGAAATCAAGAAGACTCTCCAGAACATGATCTTACATATTCTAGTCATTCCATCCTGCCCCAGAAGTATTTGTGTGTGGGACAGATACAGATTTTCATTTCTGTCTCATTTTCTTTTTCCAGTGAGTACTGAGGTCCTAGTTCTATTATATGGTTCTACAGAACGTAATATTGAGGGTAAGTATCAAAGGACCATCAAGGTGCTATTAAGTGCAGTATACAGTCACTAATTTGGTGATGAAGATACCATGGACACCAGGGATGACTGGCTTGCTGGAGATCACACAACTGATCAATGATCAGTTAGAAGTTACTTTTCTGAGAGGAAATGGAGGTGAAAAAAACACCTGCTTTAAAGCAAACAATTTATTACCTGTGACATATTTCCATTAAAACTAACGCCTTCTTGCAGAGATTTGTGTTTCTTGCATGTTGGAGTGTATCATGTCCAGTGAAAGGATTTCTTTGCTAGTCTTTTAATTTGTAGGTATACAGCATCCCTGATGCAAGAATAGCAGTCCTCACTTTTTCAGTGGTTTATTTTCCTTTTTAAAAAAAATCTATTCTACTAGCAGTATCCATCCCTTATGACTAGCTTTTCTTTTTTTCTTTATTCAAGCTGCTATGATCATTTATAGCAAAGGAAGAGTTAAACAGTCTGAAAGAAGCCTGGCACTTTTGACTTTGCAGCACTCCAGACTATCAGCAGATGTTTTCTGGGGCATTTAGGTAGCAGCACAGCCTGAATAGGAAGGGTCAGGATAAGAATGGATTTTAAGGATTTGGGGAACGACAGTAGTGCAAGTCTTCTATATTAAAG